GAACAGTGACGGGCCAGCAGACGACAGAAAGAAGTCAAGCGCTGCAAGGGTCGAGCGAAGTGTGTCGTGCCACTCACGTGGAGCCTGACGCAGGCCGTAGACTGGTCGACGCAGCTGCCACTGGGTCCCAGGTGGGAAAGAGCCAGTGAAGCCAGGCGGGCGACGCAGACAGATCTGCTCGTGCAGGCTCCCCTGAAGAAACGCTGTGGAGAAGTCCAAGGAGTGCAACTCGTAGTCGCGCTGAGCTGCAATGTGCAGTAACACCCGAAGAGTGGTCATCTTTGGGGTGGGAGCGAAGGTCTGGAAGAAGTCTACCCCCCCGCGCTGACTTAAGTTTCTTGCCACATAGCGCGCCTTGAACACCGGTGGTGATCCAGGCGGCCGCTTCACCTTGTAGAGCCACATGCCACTAACGACGTTTGTCCGAGGTGGTGGGACGGCGTCAACGTAGGTGCATGTGGACCTATCAGATGCCATCTCTGCCTCCTCAGCTGCTATCCATTACGAGGCCCAAGGTCCCGAGACCGCCTCAGCGTGAGTGCGAGGGATCGGGATGTCAAGAGCGTCTGGATCCCCCTCAGGGGCAAGCAGCATGGCGCAGAGATGAGGAACAGCGGCCGCAAGGAAATCAAGCTCAAACTTCCTCCAAGGGAAAGACAGGAGCACCCCCAGAGGACGGAGAACGAGTAGGAACACTCACCAGGTGAGCGGCATAGTCAAGGCGGTGGGAAGAGGCAAAGCCAGCGACAATGGTAACAAGTGCTGAGACAGACGACAAGGGTGCAGTCGGGTGAGTGACCAACGCGGACAAAACACGGGAGACGATAGGACGGGAGGTACGGACGTAGTCGGACAACGGGTCGTGAAGCACAGTGAGGGACGACTCAGGGCGCTGTGGAAGGATAGGAGGAGGTGGAACATGAGAGCGAAGAACAAGGTGGAACGGACCGTCTGCACGGTAACGGGACCGACGACGCTCTGGGGACACAGCACGACTGAGGGGAGGACGACGAGTTCACTGGGACGAGGAAAGGGACTCAACAGGGGGAACAGGAGGGGACGGTAGGGGACCACGAACAAAGCGTGCAGGTGCTGGGTCGGGGAGGTCGCGGAGTCGCAGTCGCTGCTGCTCCGCCTCCTCTAGCGTCTGCTGCGACGGTATTGGCCCCTGCTGCTGCTCCTGTGGCTGCGCCTCTGCCCTCTCCTGTTGCGACTGCAGCTGCACCCACTGCTGCGACCGGGACTCCTGCGCTACCCTCTCCTGCTGCGGCCGTGACTCCTCCTCTACTCTCTCCAGCTGTGTTTGTAACTGCACCTGCTGCTGCGGGCGGGACTCCTGCTCTACCCTCTCCTGGTGCGGTCGTGACTCCTCCTCTACTCTCTCCTGCTGCGACTGCAACTGCACCCGCTGCTGCACTCGTGACTCCTCCTCTACTCTCTCCTGCTGCGGCTGCAACTGCACTTGCTGCTGCTGTGACTCCTCCTCTACTCTCTCCTGCTGCTACAACTGACATTGCTCCTGCTGCTGCTGCTGCTGCTGCTGTGCCCTCTCAAACCGCTCACGCTCCTCCCTCTCCAACGGGAAGAGACGCTGTTCATGGGTCAGGAAACGTACAGTGCGCGGTGTAGGCGCCACAGTGCAAGTGCCTCCAGCTCCAGCACCCCCAGAACCAACACCTCCACCGTCGACACCCCCGGAGCCTCCAGTACCTCCCGCAGTAACACCCTCGGGCTCCGCAGAAACCGGCTGCAGAGAAGAACAAGGAGGGAAATGCGGGACGGACGGGAAGCCAGGGGGTGACGCGGGGCGAGGCCGCCGACTCGAGGCTGCCGTGTCCTCCACGGGAGTGGCCTCCACACCCACACCCCCTGCACCCCTAGAGCCAACACCACCAGCTCCTGCAGCCCCAGTACCCTCACCGTCCGCAACTACACCTCCCGCACCCCCAGACACGACACGGACTGGATGCTGCGGGGGGGACGACTGCAGAGTGACGTGCGACACACCTGACAGGGCAGGACGCGAAGGGGGGGAGGCTACCGGGGCGACTTGGGGGGGGCTCAAGGGTGAGGAACAGCGGGGGGGAAAAGGCCTCAGTACCTCGGTGGGGGCGACTCCTGTAGTAACAGACAGACTCGTCGAACGTGACGTCATGAGAAGCGAAGAACTGGTAGGTGACCGGGTCGTAGAACAACCAGCCAGAGGCGTCCAAAGGGAAACCGAGAAATACGCAGGCACGAGTGCGCGGAGACAACTTCTTCGCGCCAGGGGCGCGAACGTGGGCCAGAGAGCCCCAGACGCGGAAGTCAGCTGCTACGCCCGGAGAACCTGTCCAAAGGGAGACCGGCGTCACCAGTGGCCGTGCGTCACTAGGCCACAGGTTCAGCTGGTGCGCGGCGTAGCGGACTGCCTGAGGCCACAAGAACTGGGGGGCACCGGCATGGCACATGGAGGTCCGGGCAACCTCCATGACCAGGCCGATGCGTCACTCGGCTACCCCGTTCTGCTGCGGCGAGGCTGGTAACGTGTAAGACTGGATGAATCCCCGACCCTGACAGAACGTCTCCAGGCGAGTGGAAGAGAACTCACCACCACGGTCCGAGTGTAGGCGGAGCCCACACAGGCCCTGGGCGCCACCCCTCGCTAGTAGCCACGGCTCGAGGACGGTAGGCACGTCGGCCTTCCGTCGCAAAGGGAAAACCGTGGTGTAGCGGGAGTAGTCGTCCACCACAATCAGGAAGTAGCGCTCCTGACGTGGGCCAAGGACCGGGGAGGGGCCCCAGACGTCGAAGTGCAGGGTCTGGAAGGGAGACGCGGTGGGGGGGAGCGAGGAGGAGTGAGGGGCAGCGCGCTGCCGACCCTCGACGCAAGGAGTGCACGGCGGCGCTGGAGAGTGGGGAAGCGGGGCAAGCGACGCTGGGAGACCTGACACCAGACGGTGACGTGCCATCCTACTGAGACGTGGGAACGACGGGTGACCTAGACGGTGGTGCCAGAGGACCGACGGGTGGGTGAGGGACCGACAGTCACACGACACAGCGGCTTCCTGACCTGACCTGACCAGGCCTGACCCAGTGTGGTGGGACCCAGTATGTAGTGAGTACAGACCAGAGCCCGGCTCCCAGTGAAAGGTGGCCAGAGGGGCCCCAGTGGTATCGACTGTGCAGGAGGCAACTGACTCCTCTAAGGGAAAAGTGGTGACTACTCCGAGGTCAAGGAGGTGGCTGACACCCACCAGGTTCCTAGAGAACGAGGGGTTGTAGTAACCTGTATGGACCCCAGAGGGAGCAGCCGGACACAGGAGAGTGGTGGTGCTGTGAGCAACCACAGGTCCCATAGAGGGGTCGGCCAAGGCGACAGTGACGGGAGTGCGTAGTGGTGTGAGGTCGGCGCGGTCACGAAAGAAACAGCTGGACGCCCCAGAGTTGAGTGTGAACGACAGGGACGCAGTCTCGTTGGTCGAACCTGGACAAGCTACGCTAGCAGGGAAAGCACTGGCAACCTCTACATCACCTAAGCTAGAGAAACAAGAACAGTACGCAAAATCATCAACACTAGAGTCATCGGCATACATCACAGACACAGAACGCACAGCCTCATCTAACTGAGGTGCACTCATGCTATACAACTGCGGACCAACAGAACGAGCGGGTGAGGCCCAATCGGGGACAGTGCGGGTGGGGCCAAACTGCGCACGGTAGCGGTCAGTGAGCTGTGCAAAGCACTGACTCGCGGGGTGGAAGCGGCCACAGGGGTAGCCGCCACGCGGCCCAGTCTGCACCCGATACTGGCAGGGGGGGTGCTGGGCTGGACCACGCGACGTCCAGCTGGGTGGGCCGCTGCTGCTGACAGAGCTCCCTGGTCCAGGCGACCTCCACTGCTGCTGCTGCGTCTGCTGGCGCTGGCCCTGGAACTGCTGCTGCCGCTGCTGCTGTGGCTGCGGCTGCTGCGGCTGCTGTTGGTGAGGCTGCTGCTGCTGGGGGGCCCCATTACCTCCACCTCCACTGCCTCCTCCTCCGCCACCAACCCCACCCCCTCCACCTCCTCCACCACCGCCCCCTACGCCACCTCCACCACCGCCCCCTCCGCCACCCCCACCACCGCCCCCTCCGCCACCCCCACCACTGCCACCACCTCCTCCCTTCTTACCCCCCTTCTTGCCCCCTTTGTTGCCAAGGGCAACGGCTGCCACCTCTGGTGCAGTGGCAACAGACGCCGAATCAACAGGGGAAGCTAGGAAGGACGGAGCACATCCCTCAAAGATGGGGGGGAGGGTAGTACCGGAGGCAGCAGCAAGGGAACGGGCAAGGTCCTCAACAGCAGTGAGCCTCTTCTCAAAGAGGTCAATGGTGAGGGACATGGGGTTAACAGTGAGAAAGTGGTCACGGGCTGTGGCAAAGCGGTCAGGGAGGCGGGTGGACAGCAGGTACAGTGTCATCCACATCGGGGGGGGGGGGGGGGGGTTGGCGGCAAGTAGGGCATCATCAGGGGCAGCAGAACGGAGTTGGGCATCAAGCGAGCGCAAGTGCAGCACAAGATCAGGGACGCGGTGAAACGAGGGCAGGTCAGGAAATAGGAGGGCAGTACAAGCCGGCCGAGTGATGCAGTGGTTGGGGTGGAATAACGTTTGACGACAGCATCAAACAGGCCCTTGGCCGTCACCTCCTGCTCGAAGTGCTGCTGCTCTGTCAGGGGCAGGAGATCGGTGATGGCGAACACTGTGGCGTCGTCCCGCGCCGCCCACCGACTGGCCGCCAGCTGCTGCTTCTCAAAGCGAGCTTCCTCTTCGTCCGACGAGGAGGAACCTAAGGGGTCGGGTTCCTTCGGGGCTACGAGTTTGCCCGTGGCATGGTCCAAAAGGTGGACGTCGTTCTCGATCCTACTCCCTAGGAAAAGCTTGAGTTTGCGGAGCCATCCTGGGAAGTCTACCGGCCTACCCTCAGGATCAAACGTGAGAATACGAGAAGTGGCCATGGGAGGAGGCTCTGGTGCGAGGGCAATGGACGGGCACGCTCGGGTGGAGTCGAGTGCGTTTGAGAGCGGTACCAGGTGATTCAGTGAGGTGGATGGTGGCTGGTTACTGGTGTGGTGACTTGAACGGGTGGGGCAGCAGCTTTGGATGGTACAGGTGGGGCAGCGGGTGCAGTTCCGTGCGGTGCTGCGTGGTTCTGTGCGGTTCTGCTCAGTTCTGTGCGGTTCTGCATGGTTTTGCGCGGTTCTGCACGGTTCAGTGCGGTGCTGCGCGGTTCTGTGCGAGGTGAGTACCGGGTGGGGCAGCAGCTCTGGCTGGTACAGGTGGGGCAGCGGGTGCAGTTCTGTGCGGTGCTGCGTGGTTTTGTGCGGTTCTGCCCGGTTCAGTGCGGTTCTGAGTGGTTCTGCCCGGTTCTGCCCGGGTGGGGTAGCAGCTCTGGCTGGTGCGGGTGGGTCAGCAGGTAAGGTTCTGGGCAGCGCCGCACGGTTCTGTGCTGTTCTGCGCAGTTCTGTGCGGTTCTGCACGGTTCTGCGCGGTTCTGCACGGTTCAGTGCGGTGCTGCGCGGTTCTGTACGGGGGAGAGTACCAGGTGGGGTAGCAGCTCTGGCTGGTGCGGATGGGTCAGCAGGTAAGGTTCTGGGCGGTGTCGCACGGTTCTGTGCGGTTCTCCGCGGTGCTGTACGGTTCTGGGCGGGGGAGAGTAACTGGTGGGACGGCTGACTTCAGGGTGAGGCGACTGGAACGGGTGGTACAGCGGGCACCGGGTGGGTCAGCGTGGACGGGTGAGACGGTAGCGCAGCTGACGGGCTGCACGTGCGTGCGGCTATTGCTGCGCGTGCGTGCAGCTATGGCCGCGCGTGCGTGCTGCTAATGCCGCGCGTGCGTACGGCTAATGCTGCACGTGCGTGCGGCTAATGCTGCGCGTGCGCGCGGTCGCATGTGCGGCTACGACTGCACGTGCGTATGCGCCTGCTGCGCGCTAGCGGGCTGGCGAGCTACGCACGGGGCAGAAAACAGGTGAGGCGCGGGTGAAAAAAACGGGTGACGCTCGGGGCTAAACGGATGACGCGCTCAGGGCAGTACGGGTGACGCGCGAGCTAAGGGGGGGTGGCAGGGCGCTTCGGGTATTAAGTGGCTATGTTCTTAGGTCGGGGCACGGGGCGGTGGGCCCTGGAGCTGGTGCTGGCGGCTGGCCCTGGAGCTGGTGCTGGTGCTGGCGGCTGGCGCTGGTGCTGGTGTTCCGCCCCCACTCCCTTCCCCCTTTTCCTCTCCCCCCCACAGCATTCCGCCGCCACTCCCTTCCCCCTTTCCCTCTCTCCCCCACAGCATACCGCCGCCACTCCCTTCCCCTCCTCCCTCTCCCACCCACAGCGACCACCGCTGCACACGCGAACAGTCGCGACGGGGGGGGAGGGACGGGCAGGGGGCCGGGGAAATGCGACGGGCAGTGCGAGGCGACGGGAGGGAAGAAAACGGGACGGGGGGGGGGGGGGACAGGGAGGCGACGGGGACGAAACGGTGACAGCGCGCGTAGGTGCTGGCGCGTTGGCGGGCTGGTGGCGGAATCGCTGGCGTGCTGGCGTGTCTGCTGGCGGGCTCGTCGGCGGGCTCGCTGGCGTTTCCGCTGGCGAGATCGAGCGGTTCCGCTGGCGGGCTCGGTGGCGGGCTCGTCGGCGGGCTCGTCGATTCGCTTCCCCCCCCATCGTTGGCGTGCTCGCTGGCGGGTCCGTCAACGGATTCGCTGGCGGGCTCGCTAGCGCGTTCGCTATGGGCCGCGGACGCCATGGGCAGAACGCGACGATCTTGGGCGGACTGGACGGGAAACGCGCTACGAACTGGGGACGCGAGGATTACGGGTTGGTGGGCCCATAAAATCGCAGGTCCTAGAAGGAACTACGCTCTGTTACCATGTTACGATACTAAGTTAACTAGGAACCGGGTTTAACTAAGGGCCTAGGCTTAGTAGCCTAGGCCAAGCGGGTGTCGAGTAGTTTGTGCCAAGGAGAATTGAAGAATGGTTGGGTTCACTATAGGACCAAAGGTACATATAGCAAACAAACAGGTGCACCACCAAGCAAACAATCAGATAACTACACTATAGTAACTACAGCAAGCAGGATATATTAAATATAACTTAAACAATAGGGTCGACTAGCTCTATACCATGTCGAGAGTAGAACGGGAGAAAAGACTGACTAAGGGAAACGAGGTACAAGAAGATATAGCTAACCCTAGGAATATGAAATGGTACACCTAGACTAACATAAACTAAACATATAAAATATATGTTGACACACTCCGCAGTCTTCCCCCCCGCAGCGTCCAGTCCCTGCCGTGTCTAGGGGTGCGGGAGGTGCAGTTGCGGAGGGTGAGGGTACTGGGGCTGCAGGAAATGGTGGTGTCGGCTCTGGGGGTGCAGGGGGTGTGGGCGTGGAGGTCACTCCCGTGGAGGACACGGCAGCCTCGAGACGGCGGCCTCGCCCCGCGTCACCCCCTGGCTTCCCGTCCGTCCCGCAGCTCCCTCCTCGTTCTTCTCTGCGGTCGGTTGCTGCGGAGCCTGGGGGTGTTCCTGCGAGAGGTACTCAAGGCCCCGAGGGTGTCGGTGGTGGAGGTGCTGGTTCTGGGGGTGCTGGAGCTGAAGGCACTGGCACTGTGGCGCCTACACCGCGCACTGTACGTTTCCTGACCCGTGAGCAGTGTCTCCTCCGGTTGGAGAGGGAGGAGCATGAGCGGTTTGAGAGGGCACAGCAGCAGCAGCAGCAGCAGCAGGAGCAGTCTCAGTCACAGCAGCAGGAGAGAGTAGAGGAGGAGTCACAGCAGCAGCAGGAGAGAGCAGAGGAGGGTTCACGACTGCAGCAGCAGGTGCAGTTGTTGCCGCGGCAGGAGAGAGTAGAGGAGGAGTCACGAGTGCAGCAGGGGGTGCAATTGCAGTCGCAGCAGGAGAGAGAAGAGGAGTCACGGCCGCACCAGGAGAGGGTAGAGCAGGAGTCCCGCCCGCAGCAGCAGGTGCAGTTACAGACACATCAGGAGAGAGTAGAGGAGTCATGACCGCAGCAGGAGAGGGTAGCGCAGGAGTCCCGGTCGTAGCAGTGGGTGCAGCTGCAGCCGCAGCAGGAGAGGGCAGAGGAGGAGCACACGAGCAGCAGTAGTGGCAGGTACCGTCGCAGCAGACGCCAGAGGAGGCGGAGCGGCAGTGACTGCGACTGCGCGACCTGCCCGACCCAGCACCTGCACGCTTGGTTCGTGGTCCCCTACCGTCCCCTCCTGTTCCCCTTGTTCAGTCCCATTCCTCGTCCTAGTGGACTCGTCGTTCTCCCCTCAGTCGTGTTGTTCTCCAGAGCCCCGTCGGTCTCGTTACCGTGCTGACGGCCCGTTTCACCTTGTACTCCGCTCTCGTGTTCCACCTCCTCCGGTCCTTCCACATCCTCCTCAGTCGTCCCTCACTGTGCTTCACGACTCGTTGTCCGACTACCTCCGTGCCTCCCGTCCTATCGTCTCTCGTGTTCTGTCCGCGTTGGTCACTCACCCGACTGCCCCTCTGTCGTCTGTCTCAGCCCTTGTTACCACTGTCGCTGGCTTTGCCTCGTCCCACCGACTTGACTACGCATCCCACCTGGTGAGCGGCACTGCTCATTTTCCGTCCACTGGGGGTGTCCCTGTTTTTCCCCTGGAGGCCCTGGAGCACAGGCAGTTCGAGCTTGGTTTCCTTGCAGCCGCTGTTCCTCATCTCTGCGCCATGCTGCTTGCCCCTGAGGGGGATCCAGATGCTCTTGACATCCCGATCCCTCGCAATTACGCTGAGGTGGTCTCGGGACCTTGGGCCTCGTACTGGATAGCAGCTGAGGAGGCAGAGATGGCATCTGATAGGTCCACAGGCACCTACGTTGACGCCGTCCCACCACCTGGGACAAACGTCGTCAGTGGCATGTGGCTCTACAAGGTGAAGCGGCCGCCTGGATCACCACCGGTGTTCAAGGCGCGCTATGTGGCGAGAAACTTAAGTCAGCGCGGGGGGGTAGACTTCTTCCAGACCTTCGCTCCCACCCCGAAGATGACCACTCTTCGGGTGTTACTGCACATTGCAGCTCAGCACGACTACGAGTTGCACTCCTTGGACTTCTCCACAGCGTTTCTTCAGGGGAGCCTGCACGAGCAGATCTGGCTGCGTCGCCCGCCTGGCTTCACTGGCTCTTTCCCACCTGGGACCCAGTGGCAGCTGCGTCGACAAGTCTACGGCCTGCGTCAGGCTCCACGTGAGTGGCACGACACACTTCGCTCGACCCTTGCAGCGCTTGACTTCTTTCCGTCGTCTGCTGACCCGTCACTGTTCGTCTGCCGTGGCTCGACCCCGTTCTTTGTTCTTGTTTACGTTGACAACCTGGTCTTCACCACTCCCGGCCGACACGCACTAGCCTTCGTGAAGGAGGAACTGTAGAGGAGACACACTTGCACTGACCTTGGTGAGCTGCAGCACTACCTTGGCCTGCATATCACTAGGGACAGGGCAGCTCGCACCATTACGCTGACGCAGTCGCACATGGTCGTGCAGATCCTCACGCGGTTCCGCTTCCTGTTCTCCAAGGTACAGCTCACCCATCTTGCTATGGATCATGGACTCACGGCTCCATCTTTGGACGAGTCATTTGAGTCCAGTGGTCCATATCCTGAGCTGGTGGGTTGTCTCATGTACCTAATGACCTGTACTCGCCCAGACCTAGCTTACCCTCTTAGCGTCCTTGTGCGCTTTGTTGCGCCTAGGAGACACTGGTACGCTGCTAAGAGGGTGGCAAAGTATGTGGCGAGTTCATCAGGCATGGGACTTGTCCTTGGAGGGAAGCAGCCAGTTACACTCACAGGTTACTCGGACTCGTCGTGGGCCGACGATGCGGAGACGCGTCGGTCTTCACAGGGTTACTGCTTCAGTCTTGGGACCGGAGCTGTTTCGTGGAGGTCGACTCGAGCGTCGTCAGTCTCCAGTTCCAACTGTGAAGCAGAGGTGTACGCGGGGGCCATGGCCGCCCAGGAGCTTCGTTGGCTGTCTTTCCTCCTCACCGACCTTGGTGAGCGGCCTCGCTCTCCCCCAGTCTTGTTCGCCGACAACAGGTCTGCTGTCCTGTTGTGCGAGGAGCCCCGACTGGTTGGGAAGGCGAAGCACATCCAGCTTTGTTACTTCCTTCTGGGTGAGTTGCAGCAGCGTGGCCAGGCCCGCGTGTTACGTGTGGTCACTGCGGCCAACACTGCGGATATCTTCAACAAGGCGTTGCCGAAATGTGACCACCAGCGTTTCTGCACCCAGCTTGGCCTTGTGTCTACAGGCCCTCACTTGCTTGCGTAGAGATGCTTTGTCTTGTACTCTTGCATCTTACGATATATCTATATATGTGCTTGTGGACAGGCCTTGTGGCCCTTTGCTTCTGTAGAGATGCTTCTCATGCATGTCTTGTACTCTTGCATCTCTTATATCTGCTATATCCTTGCATGTGGACTGGCCTTGTGGCCCCTTGCTGTTACAACACTGACATAACTAGTAACCAGGGTTTACCAAGGGCCTAGGCTTAGAGCCTAGGCCAAGCGGGTGTCGCGATGGTTGTGCCAAGGAGAATTGAGCATGGTGGTTTCATTAAAAGAAAGCGATACAAGATATACTCGAGAATGAGGCACAAGAGGTGGAACACCACCAACAATACCGTAACTACAGTAACTACAGCAAGCAGGATATATATTAAATATAACTTTAACACTTGCTTGTTCTCAGACTGTGTGGTGATCTTGAGATCCACCTTGAGAGTTGCTTTGTTCTTGTGAACTGGTCTTGTGACCGTTTCTTGTTCTTGCTAACTGGTCATGTGACCCTTGCTCTTGGGTTGTGTGTTGCTGTCCACAGGACTACCGTCGCGACCCCGTCCCCTTCCCGTCGCCTCCCGTCCCCCCCTCCGAGTTGCCCCCCCCGTCGCCCCCCGTCCCCTCCCCGTCGCGTCCCACGTCGCTCTCCGCGTCGCGCCCCCGTCACCCCTCGTCCCCTCCCCGTCGTGCCCCCGTCGCCTCCCTTTCCCTTCCCGTCGCATTCCCATCACCTCCCGTCCCGCCCCCGTCGCGTCCCCGTCACCTCCCCTCCCCCTCCGAGTCGCGCCCCCGTCGCCCCCCGTCCCCTCCCCGTCGCGTCCCCGTCGCCCTCCGTGTCGCGCCCCCATCACCTCCCGTCCCCTCCCCGTCTCGTCCCCGTCCCCCTCCGCGTCGCGTCCCCGTCGCCCTCGGGTTCGCGTCCCCGTCTCCTCCCGTCCCCATCCTATCGCCTTCCCGCACCCTCTGCCCGCCGCCCCACCTGAAACCAGCCGCTAGAAACACCCCAGCAGCGCAAACAGCCGCTAGAACCGTGCTAGCAGTGCCAGCAGCCGCTCGAACCGTACTAGCAGCGCCAGCAGCCGCTAGAACCGTGCTAGCAGCGCTTGCAGCCGCTAGAACCGTGCAAGCAGCACCAGCAACTGCTAGCAACGCCCCGGCAGCGGCAGCAACTGCTAGGAACGCCCCAGCGGTGCCAGCAGCTACTAGAAACACGCCAGCAGCCCCACCTGTCCCGCCGCCCCACCCTGTACCCGCCGCCCTAACCTACGACCAGAACCGCCCATAACCGCCCATAACCGCCCAGAACCGGCCAGAACCGGCCAGAACCGCCCAGGACCGCCCTGGACCGCCCAGAACCGGCCAGAACCGTCCAGAACCATCTAGAACCGCCCAGAACCGCCCATAACCGCCCAGAACCGCTCCCCACTGCTCTAGACCTGCAAGAAGCAGCAGTAGCTTAGGCTGCCACCAGAACCAGCAGCAGCTTAAAATGCCGCCAGAACCAGCAGCAGCATAGTCTGCCCCCAGCA